CTGGTAGCTATAGAATTGGCTATTTATAAACGTTTGATTAGGAAGACCAAGAGAGTATATAAAGAGAATTATTTTTTAATGATGAGCAATATATTAATACTGTGTATGTTAAAGAGGTGCTTGATTTGGATGAACCAGAAGATATACATATTTTTGAAGACGATGGTTTAGAATGTAGTGAGAAGACTCACCATTCACGATATGATGAAGTTATAAGAGTATTGTATTGGGTTTGAGGAATATGGCTGCTGCAGGTCCGGATCGCATACATTCTGTTTTGATTAAAAGATTATTCTTCTATTACCCAGGTTTTTTTTTTGTTTGCCTATATAATGCCTGACATAAGTTTGCTCTTTTTCCAGATTGTTGGAAAATTGGTTGAATTATTTTGATCCCTAAGCCTAATGGAAAGCAAAGACCCATTACACTTTTGAATATTTTGGGTAAGGTGCTAGACAAATTGGTAACTAATAGAATTCTACGCTTTATGGTTAATAAATTCCACTTAGTGAGTTTCAATATGGATTTACCTTTGGAAGAGGTACGGAGGATCCACTTTACCGGGTTATTGGATATGTCGGACGTTTTAGGGGTGAACAACACGTAGCTTTGATTTCTCTGGAGATTTCGGCTGCATTTGATTCTGTTTATTGATCTTCCTTGTTGCATGGTCTAATTGATTTAAAAATACCTAGAAATTTGTTTTATCTATTTAAAAGTTATTTTAGTAAAGAAAAATTGTTTTTAATTGTTTCAAGGGTAAGAGTAAATACTTAGTAATGAATATTTATAAGGGTTGCCCTCAGGGCTCCTGCAGTGCTCCTCTGCTCTGGAACGTTATTGTGGATAACTTGCTGAAGCAGAATTTTTCTTGGCTAAACAAAGAAAAATTACAATTTAATATTGAAAATACATGTGTATTGTTTTCTCCCAGAGGAGATTAAAAAACTAGACCACCAAATTTGAAATATCAAGTCAAAAGAATCAAATTTGTAGATGATATGAAATATCTTGGCGTTATGATTGATAATAAATTAAATTTTATAGAACATTTTAAGTTGGTACAAAGACGAACTGATCTGCTTTTATTAAATTATGGAAGAACTTTTTCAGCTGAGATTTTAGCCTTGAAATTCTCCATTCTGAGGAAGATTTTAAATGTAGTGCTTCCAATCATCATGTATGGAATTGGAGCCTTTGGGATCCAGGCGGTTAGATTACGAATGAAGTTATACAGTATTCAGAAAGCTTGGGGTTTAGCTTTAACCCGATGTTTTAGAACAGTGCCTACCGAAGCCGTCTTTGTGTTGGCTGGGCTGCCTCCTCTCTCAATTTTATACGAATTTTATTATGAGAAATTTTTATTCAGAACTGGATGAATGGAATTAAAATGTATGAAGATTATTTAAGTACAAAGAATGTTTTTGAAAAATTTAATATTCATTTAATACATCCTTCCAATAGATTTGGTTTTGTTTTTGATAAAAGTAATCCAACTGTTGATGTATTTGATATTTATACAGATGGTTCTGCGGTCGGAGGGAGCATAGGAGCTGCCTTTGTTGTTTTTTATTATGGAAGTGAGGTGGATTGTATAATTTTTAAGTTGAACATGTATAATTCAGTTTTCTAAGCAGAAAGTGAATCGTTCAAACAAGCCTTATTATGGATTAAAAATACCTTGTTTATAACCATATCTGTAAATATTTACACTGACTGCCTGTCACTCCTCCACGCGCTCTCCCGCCCAGACAGTTTCAATCCATTAATTGTCGAAATTAAGAGTCATTTAGAAACTTTTAGTTCATATTTAAATATTAAGCTACATTGGGTTAAAGCCCATATGGGCTTTATTGGTAATGAATGGATATTGAAGTAACAGGTTCGAAGAGAATTGCTATTTAACTGGACATGGTAGGTTTCCGTTCTATTTCAACCGATTTAATCTGCAGGAAAATAAACTATGTAATAGTTGTCAGATTGACAGTGATACTAGGAATTTTGTGGTTGATTGTAGTTTAACAGCCCCTATTAGACAGATTTTTAACATTACTGATTATATTATTGCTCTAATGAAGTTTATCAATGAAAAGAGGGCGCTTGTAGGAATCTTCTGTTAAAATTGAATTCTGTATTTATATGTGTTTTAGATATCTGTGGTGTTTTATGTTGTGAATTTGTGTTTATGGTTTGTTTTTATTTTTGTTTGTTTGTTTGTTAGCTCGGAATTTTGTGTTAGATGTGCTTACTTATTTTTAATTTAGTATATTTGTTTGTTGTTTGGGGGTGGCTGGATTACTGGCTGCCTCGTTTGTGTAGATACGGGGCCCCTTCTTTTGAGCTATGGGGATACTCGTGTCCAGGTGGGCTGAAGGGATCCTCCAGCTCTTACAATTCTTACGCGCCAAGTGTGCTACTGTTACACTACGAAAGCATGCAGAAAGGAGGGAGAAAAATCTTATACACTCCACGTGGTCTGTTATGATCATAAGACCAATTTGTTTGGTTAGGTGGGTCGGGCTGCTTTCACTTCTGGTACCTTATATACTCCACCTTTTAAAGGGTGATTGGGGATTAGGGCACCCACTTGCCAAATTCTGGTGGTGAAGAATCATCATCCACCACCTATCTAGTTCGGGCGCCACTGTATAGTCATTAGGTGTGTTTGAAGTAGGAAACACGAAAAATGAGCAATGTCCTCACCGGTACTCGGACCTGGACCTCTCGAATACGCGTCGAGTGTGCTACCGCTACACCACGAAGGCACGCAGAAAGGAGGGAGAATGACACACCGACCTCTAAACTGAGTGTTATTTCAGAGCCTTCGTAACGGTATTCAACATCTCTCATACGGAAGCATATGAAAAGTCAAACATATGACAATGAGCGCATATGAAAAGTCAAACGTATTTCAGAAGAAAAAGAAAAAGGTCTCTCCCACATTAAAAATTTCCGCATTTGAAAAATAACAGTAGCCATCACCATGGTGTTTTGTGCGTAAAATATCTCCAGTAGTAACGCCATAACTAATAGCCCTTACTCCGCTAACTGCAAAAGTAGGCGAATAAAAGCCAACAGCGAAAACGGCGGCTACAATATAATAGTAGCAAGAATAGTACTAGCAGCAACGATTCAGGAAAGCGAAAAAACTGAAAAGCATAAAAAAGCCAAAAGGGCACAAGAATGCCAAAAAGAGCCTCAAGATTCACAAATGTTTGCTATATATAAGCTACTGTAGTTAAACCAATAGTTAACCCTCTGAACCAATGAAAAGAGATCAAGGCACGAAGTCTTTACACATCATCAACGAATTAAAATTGTCATCAAATGAGGGTTTCATCTAATACGGTAAACATTTTGAAAAGCTGAAATAAAAGCTTAAAAGAAAATTGCCTTCGCATTGAGAAAAAAAAACTCAGAACGTCTTACTAATTAAAGCATTGAGTGGGAAAATTAAGTACTAGAATCAATTTAGAAGTGGGAGTCATCATCAAATAAATTTTAAAACTAAAAATAAAAGAAATGAGTTTCCTTGATATCTTGATAGTGTACCTGTTGGTGATTGTTAACCACGCGAGAAAGGAAGCACCCGCGGGGGTGTCCTGTGAAAATATCAAGGATCAAGGAAGTGTATATTACTGAGTTCATAGGCAGAATTACGCCTGTAACTCCACATCAGCAAAAGACTTAAAATTATCACGAAAAGAGAACTTCATCAAATACGGTAAACATTTTGAAAAAGCCGAAATAAAAGCTTTAAACATTAAATTACTTTGCATTGAGAAAAAAACGTATAAAATCTCAGAAGGTCCAATTTTGCGTCGAAAAATAAGGGCTAGAAAAATTTAGGTAGGAACAATCAGCATCAAATAATTTTGATTAGAAAAGGCAGACGTTTCCTTGATTCCTTGATATTCCAACTGCGGTTGTCAACAGTGCGGTTGCCAATGAAAATATTCCACAGCGAGAAAACAACCAATCATAATATTTCTCTCGCTTAACAGACAAACTGAACTGCAATGAGTTGTTGTCTGATGAATTCGTTTAGCGATGTTGCAACAGACCTGCCGGCGAAGAACTTGTCGCCAAATGAAACAGATGAAATTCCCTGTCTGTTTTCATACGATTGTAATAATTTTAAAGATTTAAATTTAATGTTACCTCGTCACAGTTCCATATGGAAATATATCACATTAAGTACTCGCAAATCTGTGTATATAAAATGTCTTTCTGTTTGAGCTAAAAGATTTACAAACTTTCCTAAAATAACATTTAGGAAATAATGCAACTATAAAATATAAAATTCACATATTGCTTAGAATTGCCTTCGATATCCTTTTTCAGTTGATATAATAATTTTTAGTTTCCTTTCTTGATTCGGGAAAATTATAAACTGTGTTTATAAAGTAATTTTAATTAGTTTCCTTCCGCAATTTATTGTAGTTTCGTTCTAAACTAATTATAAGATGCTTATGGTCTCATATATATATATGCTCACAACAATTGATATCTTCATTCTGTAACAAGAATACAATAGCCAGTAAGTTCTATTGTTACTTACTGGCTGTTAATTTGAGCAAAATAATAGTACTTGCACTCACACACGCATTTGCTGATTTCTTCAAAGTTCAGAGTTTTACATTCCTTCAACTACGTATAGTTCTTCAACTAGATATAGTTCGTAAATTTTTTACTTGACAATTATTTCTCATGAACGGAAATGATATGTTTCATGCAATAGCTGTAAGACTTCTGTATATTTTACTCTGAGATACTTTTAGACGAGTCATCAACGCCATTGCAGCCTCAATGGAATATTCACCTGGCTCCTCTATTTTAGGAGTTTCCTATTTAAATGTATCTCCTTCTAACGTGTAGAGAACACAAACGGTTTTCCGTGTTTCTGTTCAAAACTTGTATAAAAGTTGTTTCATAGTAATGCATAATGCAAGATTTTGATTTTCGTTAGCTATGAAATTTACAATCGAAATATTTTTCAGGTGCCATGCGGGAATAATCAGTTAGGTTACGGCAGGAAGAAGCGAGAGATACCCGCAGAGATGCCTTTTGATCCAAACAAGTTGTACGAGGTTGAAATGACCACTGTTTTGAAAGTAGAATTTGCTCCCGACCATTTCAAACCGAAAAGAGGTAAGCATCGTTTAGCTATAAAATATAAACTGCGAAAAATTTTAAAAATGGAAAATAAATTTAACCTTTAAATATCTTCATTTAAGTACTATAATAGCTAGCTGAGGAAATCAAATTTAAATCAGAGAATAAATGGACAAACTGTATTGACTGTATCATTTTCTCGAAATTAAGGAACAGAGCTTATATAATGTTATTCCTTGTTAATTGCTTTAAAAAATTAAACAAAAATATGTCTTTTAGATACATGCTCTTAGAATCCCTATTAAAAATGAAGCTTCATTTTGAATGAAAAATCCCCTCTAATCATGCAATCATCTTAGTATTTGAAATATAAACTAAATCAATAAGTTATTAAAGTTTGTGTGTTCGAGTTATTATTAATTTCACTCAAAATAACTGGATAAACAATTTAAAATAATTTTTATATAAGCTCATTAATCTTATCATCAGAGTATCAATCAGTAGAAAAATCAGTAAGTATATGAATTGTTATAGCATTTGGTTAAAAACAGAATGCCGTGCTAAAGGTTGATCGAGAGCGAATTAAGAGATTTATTTATCATAAGAATAAATCAAAATTATTATTCATTTTGCTTTTCATGCTTCAATAAATTTCAGATTTACGACAGCGAAAGTTTTTAAATATAATTTGAAATTTTCTATGCAGTTTAATTAATTCGAGCACAAGACATCTCTAGTTTTTATATTATATTTAAAAGATATATCGGTGTAGATTTGTAGTACGTGTCTGTGTTCAGGTGTACAGATTTAACATCAGCATCAGTTATCGGAAATGTTCAATAAGCTTGCTGTATTCTTGAAATTACATGATGAACTAGTTATATAAATAGTTCAATACGCAATAAAGGTTACGATTAGGGTTATTAGAATATGGGAAGGCGAGGGATGCCTTCATAAAGAACTTTATAAAGGGATCCCGCTTAGTATTCCTGTTACACATAGGAAAACTCGAAACTCAATCAAGTAACCACACTGCTCGCCTGGGATCAAACTCCCAGTATTCAGTAAACGTACCACACGTTAGTAGAGCCCATGGACAATACAGAAGATTGGTGCACAGATTGGAATAGATGTGCTGATATTATGAAGTGCGCTATTTACAGTGGCCTTTTCATGGGAAGATGACGAATTTGAAATGAACACATTTTGTGTCAAAGAAAGAAAATGATAAGGTTCCAATTATTTTAAATAACGAGTTATTTTATGATTTTAGATCTGTACTGAGTTCTCTCTTCCATTTCCCTAGCAGAACATATATTAACTTAGGGGTATATAACGTGAGATTTTCGGATTCTAAGACTGAGCGTGTATCTGCCTCTCGAGGCCAAGTTACTAGGTTTTGCTAGCTCAGAAAAAATTTAATATTGTGCGTTAATTATAGTTGCCGAAAATAAAATTGTTATGCCGGTGAGAAGTTTCATCCAACTTTGTGTTAAAGCACTTGTGTAGCCTTTGGCTATTAGACGTAGTTTTAATTTTAAATTTGAATTTACTGTTACTTTAATTTACATCTCCACAAGTCGTTGGTTGAGCCTCTTAAGCACGAGACATGAATTTATTTTTATTGTTCTTATTTAATAAAAAGAGTTGTTTTAAAGCTTTATTAAGACATTGTAGATATTTTCAGATGAAGCGATAATTCGTTCCAAGTCTGTTAAGAGTTCGGACTTAGTTTATGCTGCCAAAACAAGTCAAACTTTATAATATGGACATTCAGTGTTAGATTAAACGTTGCTACATATTCAATAATAACCCCTCACTTTTATTTTCTTAATCAGTGAAGTAATGCAAACAATTTTTAGACTAGTCATTAGTATATTATGCATGGTAAATAGAATCGGAATGATGTACAATATGTACCTTTTTCGAAACTATAAAAATTCAATCTTCGATCAAAATTCAATTTATATTTTTACGTAATATAAAGATTAAAAATATTTTACCCTAGAATATTGTCAGAAGGATAAAGATTCATAACTTGTTACGGTCTCAAAATAATTCAGGTAAAACACGCATTTCAACATTATTACTCTAATGCAATATAGGCTGTTTAAATAAAATGGTATTAACATAATTAAAGCTTATTAAAGTAAATTATATTTTTTTATACTTCGAAGCGGATAAACTAATGCAAGTTTGACGGAAAATCCACCATTCAATCATTTTGTGTAGCTGGGATTGAATCCCGGTATCCCGGCCGAACTACTAATATTCAGCGGTCTTAACTACTCGGCCACTGGTGGGGCTTGGTAGGCTCACCTAAAGGGGTAAAAATATATGTTACCCCCACAACACCATTGATTCATTAAGGTTAAGCAGCATTAGAATTTAACGCTGTGAAGAGAAACCAATCTGCTTTCTTGAAAGACTATTTCAATTAGTTAAAAATGTAACTAATGATTCAAAAACTGCAGTTACTTTTTCCGTGAATTCATCATTGCAGAATATCTTCCTACTTCAGATAACTATTAATGATTCTATTTTAAGATGTAATTAGGAGAAGGAAAGGAATACCATAACTCTCGCAAACCCAGAAAGGCAAGCTGAGTACGAATCAGCAATTACTCTGATATGAATAATGAGACTAAGCAATGGAAACAGAAAGAGCAGAGCATCAATGATCAGAAATTAATTATGAAAAGTTACGTAAAGCTTCTCTTTATCAAATGTGAAGAAACGCTGATCAACTGAAGACGCCTATTTCAAGGAGAAAAATAGATCAAGTGCTAAGAAAATATTAGAAGCAGTGGTCAAGAGGAAAGTGTATTGAAACGAAATTGATGTTACAGTAAATACAGTAAGCCCTAATCACACATAAGACTTGCAAACACGAAGTACAGATAAACTGTCTAAAAAGGAACGATGGATACAAGAAGAAAACGGAGAAAGAGAAAAGCTAACAGACGTTGGAAACTGCGTAAGAACCAAAATATTCGCCGACTAGAAGCAGTAGTCGTGGCTTACTAGACAAGATGCGAACATGCATCAGGACTTCCTTCTATTTTAATTTCAGTCTATGTACTGATTTTCATTAAATGTTAAATATTTTTAATGAATTAGTTTAGTTTGGTATGCCAAATTTCACTCAATATTGCAATCAAAAGACATAATTTAAAAGTGTTCCATAAAATTAAGAACATATTAATAAATATTATTAAATATTATATAATTAGAAAAATATTATAATATTTTGTAATTGTAAATTAGAAGTTAAAACCAATTACGGTATTGTTTTAGTTTTCATAAAAACGAAATTCTGTAATTTATATTATTTTATTCTTGCTGTTATTTTCGTTTATAATGGTACACAAATCTACCACTTTCCAATTTTCAAAATTATTTCATCAAGTAACTGGCGGTTATTTTATCGTTTAATCGTGCTTTCTATAAAATGCAATGTTTCAAGAAGATTGCTCGGTAAGGAAAGAGGTAAGGAGGGTACAGTATATCGTAAAATATTTAATATAGATTATGACAGAGAAGAACATGTGATACCTTTTAGTAAAACTATTCGAAATTCAAAATTTTGCATGTATCCTTATCAGGACTACTATTTCTTCTAATTGCTTTTGCAAACATACTGGAGTCTTGAGTAAGAAGAACAGGGAGTTTACTTTAAACTAAGTTCGTGCAAGTGTAGAAGATATGACACAAATGGGAAAGGTTTAATTATCCTTTATTTCTCACAATTTACAGCAGTTTCGCGCACTTCTGGATACAAAGCCCAGTACTTATGATCTAACACGTAAAAAATAGGTACTAAAACTACTTAATTAAATAAGAACTAAACTCAGATACTTTACAAAGACTACTAACGCAAAGATTGTCCTTTCAAACTTTACGTAAGTAGGGAGCAGAATGCGGGAACTACAATACGTCTTCAAGTATCAAAGAGAAATAAGTTCTGGCCTTAAAGGCGGACAATAAGTGACTGAAAAGCGCGCGTGTGGTAAGGTAGCGAAATGTGTCTCTCTTCCCTACTAAAAATGCCCCGTAGAAACCCATAAAAATGTTTTACGAAATTTGGCCTACGGGTACCCATACAGCTGTGCGGGTACCCGTAGGCCAAATCCCCGTAAAATTCCACTGACTGAAACCCGTACAACTGTAGGGGTACCCGTAGGCCAAATCCCCGTAAAAACCCATAGAAAGAAACCCACACAGCTGTACAGATTTCCGTAGGCCAAATACCCGTAAAAATCCGGTAAACAGAAACCCGTACGACTGTACGGATACGAGTAGGCCAAATCTCTGTAGAAACCTGTAGAACTGTAGGCACTATAAACAAAATCCCAGTAAAAACCCATAGCCAGAAATCAGAACTGTATGCATATCCATTGGCCAAATCTCCATTAAAAAATGAATATTCCGTAGGTCTATGCCTCGTAAAAAACAGTAGACAAAAGCACGTACACCTATACAGGCACCCATAGGTCAAAACCTGTAAAAACCACTACACAAAAATCCACAGACCAATAAAGGTACCTCTTGGAAAAATCGCTGCCCAAAACAGTACACAAAAACCCATAAACAAAATCAATAGAATTATACCATAGTAGAGTATCCATACATAGAAATCGTATATAGAATGGATATCCATATACAGAATCCCTATAAAAAACAATGCAGAAAAATAGAACTGTAGATCAAATTTCCATAAAAACATAAAACAGCAGAAGTACATAATTAGCACTGATGAAATGTACAGAACTAAATGGCGGAGAAAGCATGTAGAGTAATTTTAAATAAAATTTTTAAAATATCTAGAAGCCTACAAGCCCCTGTCCTTCTCAATGCACGTCAATATCTGTAAACATATTACAAAATATTTATATAAATTCTCTTTACAAAAATTTAAACTCCTTTTATATAATTTTGAAAATAAAATGAATAGAAAGATAATAATCAAAGTCATGATTCACAACAATCGAATGATATATGTACATATATATATGTAAGAAAAATAAAGAATATAC